GAAGGACTCCATGCTGGAGCAGAAAGCTGAGACAGAGGGCACGTGTGACTGAATATAGAGACACCAGAGATGTTCAACACCAGAGCTGGGGGAGGAGGTGTGCTGGACCAGAGACCCATCTGCAGCCTGTGGACATCCCCAGTCCCCATGACAGAGCCAGGAGCTGTGCCCGAATTGGTCTGTGACTCTGTGGGAAGCCCGCATTGGAACACTTTGTTCCTGAACTCTGACAGCCCCCGTGGGAGGGATCTGATGCTGGAAAAAGCAGCAGAGGTGAACTTACTGCAACCCCTATTCCCTGTCCCCTGTGCCACTGGGGGCGGAAGATAGAGAAATCAGGAGCAAAGTAATTTAGAGCCCTCGAAGAAGGGAGGGGTGGAGAGAAGGTGTCAAGATGTGGTTGTTATGTCTCACTGTCCTACTCTGGTGATTGGTAACTAATTAAATTGATTTTTCTTCCCCGAGTTGTGTCTGTTTTGCCTGTGACCATAGCTGGTGAGTGAGGCATCCCTGTCCTCATTTCGACCCACGACACCTTTGTTGTGATTCTGTTCCCATCTCACTGGATATGGGGGAGTGAGTGCAAGACTGCATGGTCTTACCTGTGGGTGAAACCACCACCACATTTCTGTCTCATTTCCCATTAATGAGAAGAAAGTGGAGTTAAATGGTATGTATAAACATTGAGAAGTAGTGTCCTGCTATGCCACACATGAGATCATGGTGTGACTGTCTCCACCAGTAATGTGCAGACTCTCACAGAAGTCAGGATGCTCTTCTGGGCCTAGGTGATGGCCCACCTAGGTGATTGGGAAGGCGGCTGCTCTCGGTGGGATCTGATTCCAGCTTTCTGTTGAAAATAAGTATGTATTTGTATTGGCCCTGTGCTGCTAATTAACTGTTAAATCATTTCGCTTCTTGTCCAAAGAGGACCATCATAAACTAAACTGAAATGTGGTGTATAAACTTAGTGAACCATCCTTTTTCACTGTCTTAGTTTTTTTATATTGAGCTTGGTATGTGAAATGACACAAGGTAAAGTAAAGATATGTGAATGTGATTTGTAACTGCTGTCCTGTTGGAAAGAAGGAAGTGCAAGGGTGAATAAAAGCAACGTTTATAGGCTTACTGACATTGGCAAGTTGGCTGGCTGGCTTTTACCTTCCCTGCCTCAGGCTACATTTCTTTTTATTGGTGCTCAGAGCTGGGGCTCAAAGACTTTATTAACTCTTTTATGTGTTTTTCACTATAGGGATGACAGTAAGTTCCAATAAAGATGGCTCAGGAATGATAGTCCGTAGTGTCATCCATGGAGGCTCAATAAGTCGCGATGGACGGATTGGTGTGGGGGACTGCATCCTGTCCATTAATGAAGAGTCAACCACTAACTTAACCAATGCACAGGCCCGGGCTATGCTAAGGAGGCATTCGCTTATTGGACCAGATATAAAGTAGGTAAAACTAAATGACAAATTGTGTCAGGAAGAGGCTAATAATAAAAATTTGGTTATGCAAGTATTCTAAATGAGAATTCTGTTTGTTTTTATAATATGGATTTACCTTTAAGTTACAGCTTCAGATGACTAATTCACCTTTGCATTCCAGCTTCATGGGTTTGAAAGATAAAAACACTTGTGTAAGAGGCTTTGGATGTTATTAGAAAAGTTATTGCCATGATTGGTAATCATCATTATTACTGGTCTGCCTGATTTTATTGAAGGAATGGGTTTAGTCACAGTTTTGCATTCATACTATGACTCTTCTAAAGAAAGTAAGGATTTCCTCAAGATGTTTGTGTTTCTCAAAGGTGGACTGTCCTGTTCACAAGTGATTTCATTTGACGGAGATCTTTGTAATGGATTTTGGTTTTGGCTGCGAGATGGAAAGTATGACACACGATATTAATGCAGAAAAGTAATACTTAAAACTTTTTCAGCATATCTGTGACTAACAGCAGAAACAGTCTGTTTTGTGAGGTCGCTTGTAGGTTTTTATTAGTACATATGAAGGAGCTGTTGCTCTAGTGCACGCTTTTGGGAGTACTACTTTAAACTTGCAGTAATTATAACAAGTTATGAAAAATCCACTTGCTTGATGGGAAAGTTTCTTCCTATCAGATTAACTCAATTTACAGAATTTTAACTTTCCCCTAAAGTACAACTCCTTCTAGCTGTCGTGATTGTGGAGTTAACTTTGCTTATATGCACCATCTAGAAATTACTTTGTTACTGAGCTTGTGGACAGTGCTCTAGTTACACTAACGCTTGGGTTTACAGCTCCAAAAATCTAGTAGCTGTTTTTCTCAAACCCATGATAACATGAATTGGGTCAGATTTGCAAATAGGATTAATAGAGCTGCTGGTAACAGAAACCTCTACTCATTTAAGAAGATGGCTTTGAAAGGCATCATTTCAGTCCCAGTGCAGTTTCAGGTAACTATGTGGTTTCTGCCAGTTCGAAGTGGACTTCAGGGCATTCCATTCTTCCTCACAAGTATTACAGCTTTGGAGAGACCCGGTGTTTTGGGAACAGGTGGGTTAAGTATCTTCACTGTGGGTGGTAGGTTTAACTGTTTACCCCATAGCTGTCATGCATTTAGGATTATGGTTTAATGCAAGCTTGTTTAAATAATGGGATATGCTCATATAATGAATTACATTATTGTCAATGCTGTCATGGATATGAGCGAGTCAGTGTTGATAAAATATGACACTGATTATTATTGTAGGCTTTCAAACTGTATTATAATTCCGACTACCACGACTGGAATCAGTTGGTATGTGTGCATGCATGTGTGTGTATGTCTGCTTAAATACACAAATGCTACAGCACCATTCTTTTGTGAGGAGTCTTATTAGTGCTGTAGTTATGTGATCAAACACAGATGTGTTCATTATTTGTGCTTATCCTTTTATAGTTGCTGCATTTTACACTATGTGACTTTTAAGTTTTGTTTTGTACTTTTAGTCTTTTGCAGATATATCAGAAATACCAAAATCTTGTTTTAGGCATAAATATTCAGATTTTCCACAGAGAAGTACATCCCCTTTCTGAAAGATCTCACACAAAAGGGACAGTTGCTATTTGTATTCTTACTTAAGGTTTTTGTCTTTCATTTTATATTTATGTTCTTTGATGTATTCCCATGATAAGAGTTTAAGGTGAAGCCAGCTTCTGCACTTCAAAGAACTGGAAGTCCAGATCCTCTGATAGAATCTAAAAGCCTTGCAAGAATAAGGACAATATTTTTGGGCCTACATAGTTTTGATACAAAACTGTTCAGCTAATTAAACTTTTCTGTAATTCGTACTTTCATGTGCAGTATAGGATTCCAGAAAAATATTAGCATACAAAGACATGGATAATGTCCCGGATAATGTCCCAGATCAGAAGTTTGGAGGTATGGAACATTATCTCATGATAGTTCTTTCTGTTTGCTGACAGGGATACACAGCTATATAGATGTCATTTCAGAGCTAATGTGGTGCACCACCATGCAGGGTTTGCGATTTAAGGGCCAGCATTTCAAATAAACAAGTTTAATCTCTTTGATGTCTTCCTCAGGGAACGGTGTGCAAGCACTCAGGTGTGGCCATCTTGATATCATGATTCCTCTTTATCCATACAAGGCTGCGAAGTTGGCACCTTAACTTTTAGATTGAGCTTTTTTGGGCTAGCAAGGTGACCCCAAGAAGTGATTAAGCAGAAGTACTTTAATTTTAAAGCTGTATTTCAGTAGCAAACATTATTTGTTGAGAAAACATAAAACTGTTCTTACTTGCCACAGAATGGCTTTGTTGTATTTCATTAAAGGAAATTAGATTTTGAGTAGTTCAAGAACCAGCAATCTGAGTGTCAGACTTAAGTATTTATTTTTTTTTCCCCCTTTGTGTGTGGAAAACCAGATGTGTGGCCTTACCAGAATTCATTCTGTTTCACTTCTCACTCCATCTTGCTGGGAGGTCTTATATTTATGTAATAATAGCCAGGGTTTTATGCTCAGCAGCAGCTGCTTGTAACATCTGTCAGATAATTATAGAACTGAATCAGAATTCACCTGCCTAAAGTATGGGGATGAATTCCTGATCAAGAAATAACAGATAGATTGCAATTCCATTTTCCATGCTTGTTAATAATCACTACTATAGACAATAATAAGGAGCAGGTGCTTTCTAGGGGATGTATAGATGAAGCAGAGGTGGAATGGGGGGAAAAAAAAGAAAAAAGGAGAAAGATAAAAAAAAAAGCACCTCTGTACTTTTAACTACGTAAGTTTGCCTCTCACATTCAGCATGAGACATTGACAGTTGTTAACACCTTTGTAAAAGGATGCTGCATCGTATGCTTCACATTCTAGATCTTCTCCAGCACCTGCTGATGATCAGGCCCTCTGTTATGTGTGAGTATTGGCGATTCAGAAACTCATTATGGCTCTGTGTTGCAACTTGTCTGTAAAATCATTCCATGCCTTTATGACATCCATAGTAATGTCAGGGATATATCCAGATATAGGTGCATATTCTCTCTCTTTGTGTGTGTGCATGCACATTTGGCTGCACATGTGGATGTGTATATTTTTTAAAAAGGTACGAATGTGTATGTGTCTCTCTATAGATGTGCGTGTATGTCTTTAAACTTGAAGATTGGAGCATACTTCCTAAGACTGGAATGAGAATACCTGTATTCTAAAGTAATAGTGCCAATACTTTAAAATTTTACCTATGACATCCACCCCAGATGGTCTCAGAGCATGTGTGTGTGTGTTTGTGTACAGGATTTATTGCTAGAATTGGCATGAGTATGATGTACTGATATCTGGATTAATCTCAGTGTCATATTTTCTGTGGCACTTACATTTTACTTCATGTACAAAAAGGTTCAAATTAGACCTTAAGTGTTAATGACAGTAATTTGTCCTGAACATTTTCCATACCATGTTATTTGGTTTGTTGGTGCTTCAAGGTTTTGTGTGGCTATTCAGTCAAGTATGTGATAAATGTTCCTCTGTACTGCATGCGGTGTTGTGTTTACAAGATATTTTCATATGTACACCCTTCGGTGTTCCCATTGTCACTGCTTTCATTGCTAGTGCGTATCTCTGGTGGGTGGAGGGTGGTTGTAGCTCTCAAGAAGGGAAACCAGCACAGTTTATCCTTCAAAGCTGTACAGCTACGAAAGGAAATTATTGAACCCTTCATATCCTTTCCCTTGAAACTGTTGAACTTCAACTTCCTTTGCAGATAACACAATAGTAGAGCAGTCACTTACTTGTTTCCTGTTTTCTGTGTCTTCATCCCTATTTCCTGGCACTTGTTTCTTTTACTCTCTTCCTTGTGACCATATTAAGGCAATTATCAGTCCCTTTTACAGATGAACTGTTCAGGTGACTGGGTGGATTTTTATTTTCACTTTAGAACACAAGGGTCAACGGAGTTGACCAGAGGAGCCCAACACCCTTTTTCTTATGGGCCTCTCCTCATCCCAGTTACACACTGTTCAGGATGATGCTGGATGTCATCAGACCTCATTGTGACCTCCAAGAAGTGAGCTACAGTAGCAATCCAGCAAGTGATGCATTTGATAAGTAGGGGTTGTCTGCCCATGAAGTACTAAACTGGAAAAAAACTTATTGGCAGGTATAAATCCAAGGTCTTTAGTACAATCAGACCTTACTGTGTGTCACAGAAGGCAGGAGCAGAACAGCCAGCCGCTTAGCAAGGATGTCTTTCTGGTATACGTATTTCCTAAACCTCTAAATTTTCAGCAGAGCTAGGTTTTTTGTGTAACTTTTCATTTCGATAATAACATGCAAAGGAGAGAGGGGAGGAGGACAGTCACGTCAGTAATAGAGCTTAGCTAATAAGATCACCTAGGAAAACCTTGCCATTAACTGAAATCATGAGCAAGAAAAAAAGGTGAACTCCTACTTAGAATATACCTTTTCGTGTAATTTAGTTTTGTCTTCTATGCTATTCTTTGCAAAATGCAAGTGTTCTGGTTTATATTTATGAAGTAGCTGAAGAATTATTGAAGTTTAGTTGTAGATACGAATGAACAGTTAAAAACACTGAATTTTTCTTTGAGCGTGGCAATTAGAACTGTAGTTAAGCACTAGAATAGAAATAATGTAATTTTCCAAAGAGCTAAACTGCAACAGCTCCCTGTGGTACTGTCTAAATTTGACTCCATCTGTGGAAATCAATTAGTTAATTCAGTTGCTCAGTTTTAGATGCATTTTTTAAAATGGTGGAGTCAACCTCTTTTCTTCTCAGTTCCTGTGCTGTATATAGAAAGAGAAGCTTACCTACATACGAGAGCTTTTGGGAGATATTTGTAAGCAGCATGTAAGGCAGTTTGAGAGCATCCTTTGTGCCCTACCTTTTGAATGTCCCAGCACAATGTAAGTTATTAATTCTTACAATGGAAAGTGATGGTATCTTGGAAACTGGAGTGCGTATCATTTGCCTCCCCCTTAGCTGATCTGTAACGCTGATTTTGCACCGAAGTACGAGGTAAGGGCTACTACTACCCTCAGACCTTGGGCCCCTGCATAATTGCTTGCCATGTGCTTCTTGCACTAAAGGACTGGAGAAGAGTTGAAAGATATGGGACACTGCTATCCGTGATCACACTCTGCTGTCTGTATCCAGACTGAATCTGGGCATATCTGTTTCCTTTTTAGGAGCCTGCCATCCTCCTTTCCGTACTTTGAACAATAGCTTCCAGCTGCAGTTTAGCATAAAGGAGATTGTCCAAGTCTTCTAGGCAGCAGAAATGTTGCTTGCAATTCCAGTCCCTTTACTGCAGCTGTCTTTCAAGGGAAAATATATTATTTCCTACTTATAGAGTGAAAATTGATGAATTTGATTGGGATGAAACTGATTAATGTAACTGGATGAATGATACATTTTCTCTCATTGAAATGCAGCTTGCATATCTTGTAGCTTTTACAGAGGCAAGGTATTCTTATGTGCTTACTAGGTGGTGCTTGTGCAGCAGCATTTGCCCCATGGGAGTTTTGTGATCATAACATTAACACTTTGCTAGTCTTACTAAACCCTGCATATACGTTCCCTTGAAATTGTTAACTTCAGCTTCTCTTGCACATAAAGAAAGAAACACAATAGTAGAGTAGTCGTTTACTTGTTTCCCATTTTCTGTGTCTTCATCCCTGTTTCCTGGCAGTTGTTTCTCTTACTCTCTTCATTGTGAGTCTGCATGTCATTTGGGTAGTGAAACATGGCTGTCTGTCTGTCTCAAGATGGCTGGAAGTGCATGAAAGGATGGAGGAAGGAGCTGAGCAGCGGATTGCTCTCTGCAGCATAGCTGGTGTGCTGTAACACATTTGTATGTCCAACCCCGTGCAGTATTTTTCACCAAAAGCATATAAGTCTAAAGTAAATACAAAACTGCCTGGGAAAGCACAAAACCTCCTTCAAGCCAACTTCCAGAAGCATTTTCAGCCAGCATTAAAATGGTAATGGTACTTCACACCTCACAGATCTTTCAATGTTTGTCCTTGCATGAAGAATCTCTGTTTTGACTGAAGCTGGATTGTCTCTATTACAACCCCGTCACTGTTCAAACACCATTTACTTAAAATGAAGTGTCCAGCCCTCAGAAAACTATGTGCTGTTCAGCTACGTAATTTGACCATAAATGCATATTTGTTGCAAAGTCACAAAGGATTCATATAACTCCGTATTCCCAACATACCAGCATTATGGCTTTAAAGTCAGTGACTATATGAAGTAGTCTTGAGTGGCTTCCTCCTACCCATTCCTCACACCCAGCAAAGGTAAGGCCAGCAGTCCTCATGCTACTTTAATCATGTCCCATTTCATTGCAGTATTACGTATGTGCCAGCAGAAAATTTAGACGAGTACAGGGCCAGTTTGGGACAACAGACAGAAGGAGCTGTGCCACTTGAACTTTTTCCTTCACATACTGTCAGGTGAGTCAAAACACTGTTTTCTCCCATAGGGCTGTCAGATGTAACTCTTTTCATACACTTTGCACAGTTCAGGAAGATAAGTATTACTTTAGAAGGGCTGAAAGATGGGTGATTTTCTTTTCCATCAGACTAGAAGCCATTACAATAAAAAGCTGTTCAGAATACAATTTTTGCTTTGGCTAGCAAATTTTTCTGACATTTTAATGAGGCTGTTTTATAGGTGACCTACCCAAAAAAAGGAGATTGAATACTGTCTCATCCTAAACTTCTCTTAAATGCGGTGCAATATATATCACCGCAAATGCTCAGTGCTTCCAACGTGTGAATTTGTCATTGATGGTCTTTCCAGAATGTATACTGGAGAGAATGAATGATACTGTCCTTTTCCTTGAGTTTCAGAAATCCGTTACAGTTATAGGGCAAAATATTCAAAGTGCCTAATAGTTTTTGTTTTCTTTAAATTAATCTCCAAAAGCAGTAATTATTTTTAAATGCTGTTGTAATTTTTTGCATTTTGATAGTTACCTTCAGCTTTGATTTGGTTCTAGTTCCAAAATGCAGAGTCTTCTATTCTGTAGTTGTCAGTTGATAGGAACTTAATTGCAGACAGAAGTGGACAAGGAATCCCCAAACACAGTATGTATTTTAACAGACATCTGGTTCCTTACACCAACCCTCTGTACAAATTCTAATGCTGGCAGGGTGATCCAATACATGCAACTTTGCAGTGAAATATAGTGATTATGTGGATTCTTTAAAAATGAATTGCATGTTTCTGTTCATTAGCAGGGAAATCCCAGAGCTTCCAGAACGTGAAGAGGGGGAGGGAGAAGAAAGTGAGCTTCAAAATGCAGCTTTCAGTAACTGGAACCAGCCCAGAAAGTAAGTCCAGACCTAGTTGCATAGTATAAAATCTCACCTGAAATTCAAAAATTTTGCAACCTGTAATACATTTTAAGAGGAATTAGAAAACAACAGAATTTCTGCACTTACATACATTGTACATTGCAGGAGTAATTCACTGTTTATTTTTACTGCCATTGGGCTAAATCCCTGCAGTCTAGCAGTTTTTTGATTGCTTTAGTAATTTGTCTTTGTAGGCTGACTCTCTGGGAGCCAGCAAGAAGAGATGAAGAGAAGGATTCAAAGTTTTGATTGGAATCCAAAATGAAGTGAACAACAGTATATGCAGTTACAGACTGAAAGAGGAAACTTTGCCAGGGGGAGTTATTTCTGAATGTTTTTAAAACAGTGTGCAGCATTGTCATAGCCACAACAAATTTTCATTTATTTTGATCCTTGTTTTGTCAACAACAGGGTTGAACTCTGGCGAGAGCCTAGCAAGTCACTGGGTATCAGCATTGTTGGAGGACGAGGGATGGGGAGCCGCCTGAGTAATGGAGAAATGATGAGAGGGATCTTTATCAAACACATCCTGGAAGACAGCCCAGCTGGCAAAAATGGAACACTGAAAACTGGAGATCGGATTGTCGAGGTACCAGCCAAGTGCCTTTTGCTTGCAATAGCCCCTCCATCTCAGGAGCCACCGAGATGGATGTGTGGTCCTGGGCCGATAGCTGTGTAATTGCTCCCACTGGCACCACTTGAGCCATACAGAGTGTTGTACCATCTGCTGATGTTTGTGTGCAGACAGTTTTAAGTTGAATATACAACCTAAAGCATAGATAACTGACTGTGTGAGCAGGTGTCTACAAAGCCAGCAGTTCTACCTGCCTGTTTTAAAGCTAGCATGTGTAAGAAAAAGCTTAAGTCTGGTGAAGCAAAAAGGTTGTACCTTTGCATATTGACTAGCAACAGAAATGGCCAGTGAATGGCAAATAATGCAAATAAATGCCAAGCTTGATTCCCTCTTAAACCTTAGTCAGATCACATCATTCTTGTGTATCTTGTGCAGGAATTAAGGGAGACATAGTTTTTTACCTGCTGACATGAAGAATCATAGAATGGTTTGAGTTGGAAGGGACCTTAAAGATCACCTAGTTCCAACCCCCCTGCCATGAGCAGGGACATCTTCCACTAGACCAGGTTTTTCAAAGCCCTATCCAACCTGGCCTTGAACACTTCCAGGGAGAGGGCATCCACAGCTTCTCTGGGCAACCTATTCCAGTGTCTGACCACCCTCACACTGGAATAGGTTGTCCAAGAAAGTTGGATTTGATACAGAAGAAGTTAAGAGCATGGTGCTCATGCCTGAGGATAGGGTAACCAGTGGTGTGGCAGGGAGGAATTTATCTAGGTTTCTCTTCTGCTTAGACAATCCTGTGCTCATGCAGCCGCTTCTGCTTTCTTGCTTAAAGCTATTGAAGAATGAACATACTGAAAGGATTTTATCTTTCCTGTGATGTTTATCAATAAGTCAGACAGTATCCTGTCTCCAGTGTCAGGCCTTTAGGAACTGTACTTCTCTTTACCCTGCTGGATTTCCTTAGCTCACTGTCCATTAGTAAGAACATAACAAGCAGGGCGATAGAGATGGTGATTTTTTGCCTGGATCAGACTGAGCTTGCTTTACATGGTGATGCTTAAACTGCAGTTTACTGTCTGCTGCAAGATCCATGTAAAGGTTCTTGAAATAGTACCTTAGTGTAGGTATCACTTTCTACAGTAGGATGGAAGAGTTTTTGGTGTATAACAACTTGGGAGGTGGAATTTTGCTTGCTGGCCACAAAGTTAAAAAACATTCATTATATCTGAATACTTGGATTTTTACGAAAGCACTACTTTTCTCTGACGGTGATGCTTGCAGAAGTTGGAGTGGATGAGTTTAAATTAAGTAACTAATGCTGTGTTAATGTAACTGTTTCTGAATTAATTATTTCAGTTTCTCAAGTTGTGGCCTATCTAAGCTTTTCATAGTATCATAGAATAATTTGATTGGAAAAGACCATTACGATAATCTAGTCCAACCGTAAACCTAGCATTGCCAAGTTCACCCCTAAAGTACATCCCTAAGTACCTCAGCTACCCATCTTTTAAATAACTCCAGGGAGGGTGACTCCACCACTTCCCTGGGCAGCCTGTTCCGGTGTTTGACAACCCTTTCAGTGAATAAATTTTTCCTAATATCCAATGTAAACTTCTCCTGGAGCAACTTAAGGCCATATTCTTTTGTCCTGTCACTTCTTATTTGGGAGAAGAGACGGACACCCATCTCACTACACCCTCCTTTCAGGGAGTTGTAGAGAGCAATTATGTCTCCACTCAGCCTCCTTCTGACTAAATAATCCCAGTTCCCTCAGCCACTCCTCATAAGACTTGTTCTCCAGCCCCATCACCAGCTTAATTGCCCTTCTTTGGACATGCTCCAGCAACTCAATGTCCTTCTTGTAGTGAGGGGCCCAAAAATGGACACAGTACCTGAGGTGCAGCCTCACCAGTGCTGAGTACAGGGGCACAATCACTTCCCAACTCCTGCTGGTCACACTATTCGTGATACAGGCCAGGGTGCTGTTGGCCTTCTTGGCCACCTGAGCACACTGCTGGCTCATGTTCAGCCGACTGTCGACCAACAACCCCAGATCCTTTTCCACCAGGCAGCTTTCCAGCCATTCTTCCCCAAGCCTGTAGTGTTGAATGGGGTTGTTGTGAACAAAGTGCAGGACCTGGCACTGATCGTTGTTAAAACTCATACCATTGGCCTCAGCCCATTGATCCAACCTGTCCCGATTCCTCTGCAGAGGCTTCCTACACTCAAGCAGATTAACACTCCCACCAAGCTTGGTGTCATCTGCACTTAATGAGGGTGCACTCTATGCCCTCATCGAGAGCGTTGATAAAGATACTAAACAGAGTTGACCCCAACACTGAGCCCTGGGGAACACCACTTGTGACCAGCCACCAAGTGGCTTTAACTCCGTTCACCACAATTCTCTGGGCTCAGCCATGCAGCCAGTTTTTTACCCAGCAAAGAGCGCACCTCTCTAAGCCTTGAGCCACCAGCTTCTCTAGAAGAACGCTGTGGGAGGGTGTCAGAGGCCTTGCTAAAGCCCAGGCAGACAACATCCACAGCCTTACCCTCTCCCACTAGGCAGGTCACCTGATCATAGAAGGAGATTGGGTTGGTCAAGTGGGACCTGCCTTTCATGGACCCATGCTGGCTGGGCCTGATTGCCTGGCTGTCCTGAATATGCTGCGTAAATGCACTGAAGATGAACTGCTCCATGATCTTCCCTGGTACAGAGGTCAGTCTGACAGATGTGTAGCTCCCTGGAGCCTCCTTCTGGCTCTTCTTGTAGATGGGCATCACATTGGCAAGCCTCCAGTCTTCTGGGACCTCCGGACTGCTGATAAATGATGGAGAGTGGCTTGGCAAGTTCCTCTGCCAGCTCCCTCAGTACTCTTGGATGGATCCTGTCTGGCCCCATAGACTTGTGAGTGTTCAGGTGGTGTAGCAGGTCATAAACAGCTTCTTCCCGAATTATGGGGGGTTTATTTTGTTCTCCATCCCCATTTTCCAGCTCAGGGGGCTGGATACCCTGAGGATAACTGATCTGGCTATTAAAAGACTGAGGTAAAGAAGGCATTTATTTCTTCAGCCTTTCCCTCATGCTTGGTGGTTATGTTGCCCTCTGGATCCAATAAAGGATGGAGATTCTCCTTGCCTCTCTTTTTGTTATTAATGTATTTGTAAAAACACTTTTTGTTATCTCTAACAACAGTTGCCAGCTTGAGTTCTAGCTGGGCTTTTGCCTTTCTAATTTTCTCTCTGCATAACCTATCGAGATCCCTGTACTCTTCTTGAGTTGCCTGACCCTTCTTCCAGGGATGACAACCTCTCCTTTTTTTCCTGAGACCCAGCAAGAGCTCCCTGTTTAGCTCTCTCTACTAGTACTTACAGTATTTCAGACATGGGGAGTCAGAGAGCCTTAGTGTTATTGCTCAGTTCCTCATCAGTGTAGAATTTTCTCTCTCAGATTGTTTTTGTTCTCTCTTTATTTACATTGGGTGGTTAAGGTAGGATTAGACAATTAAAAAGGTAGGGGTAATCCTAATTATATAACTGTGTGCAAGAATTGCCACTAACAAATAACCTTTCTGTGTTAGCTTCTAGCTTTTATTATGGTCGTTGTGAGAATGCTTTACTGATGCTAACCTCATCATAACATTGTTCTTTCCTGCTCACAAGATAAACTGTTTTACACATTAGTACATACAAAGGCATGAAGAAAAGCAACCAGAAAAAAAATTGTCCTTAGCTATCCTTTGTAAATGCTGTCTTCTAGAAGAGAGAAAGCTTTTCAGCTCTTACCTAAAAATGTAACTTCTGGGGAAAGTGTCTAGTTGCTAAATTGTTTTTTTTGTTGTTTTTTTTTTTTTTTTAAAAGGGGGGGGATGAAAAGAAGGGGGGGAAAAAAGTACACTATACTGACATAATACCCCATAATGAAAGACCCTGCAGCATCTTACAAGTTTCAGTTTGTAAATCTCATAAAGTCATGGGAGGTAGGTTATTCTGAGTATTTACAGGAAGCAGTATTTGGCAAGTGCTACCACTCTCTTCAGATTACTTTATCTCTTATTATCATATCTCTTCTGTTGCCTGTGGGAAAACGTATGGAACGTGAACCAAGAATGTTGAAAAGCCTGTTTTTAAAACCATGGAGAATATTTATTTGATGTCCTTTTTTGTGCTCTTGGAAATTTCAAACCTGCGTGTGAAGGGACCTCAAGCCAAGTTGGTAGAAACCTTTCCACCAGTAATGGAAGTTTGGGCTTAGGTTTTAGTCAGAGTTCCCTAATTAAAACCCAGAGCTGACTCATGATTCTTGTAGCTTCTTGCAATGTTAAGATGAGGCCTTCCAATTACAGGTGGATGGAATTGACCTCAGAGATGCCAGCCATGAACAAGCTGTGGAAGCCATACGGAAGGCAGGCAATCCTGTAGTCTTTATGGTACAGAGCATTATAAGCAGACCAAGGGTAAGCATAAAGAAAATAAAAAGAGTTATAATACATAGTGATAGATGAACCAAGTGTTCAAGGTGGTGGTGTTTGGGAATGGGATGTTTAATCCTCAAAGTTCCATCTCAGCTATTTTGGGAACAAGGATTTGATTTAAGTATTATTTCCATTTAGAATGAAATCGATTTGGATTTGGAATTACCCTCCAGCACGCCGTCCTCAAAACTATTTTGAAAAGCCTCAAGAAAGATAATTTGTTGGGGGGCAGAGTAGGAGTCTAACTAAAACCATCTCTTAGAGATTGACAGCATGTCTGAGGAGCGCATGCAGAAATACAGCACCTGTTAAAAAATTCATTGGACATTAATGAAAGGACCTAGAAGTACACGGAAGTTTTCCGTCACTAAGCTGCATGGACATTGCAGACAAAAGCTACTGAGCTTTAATAAAAGTTGCTTACATCACTAGAAACTAAATTTCCTCATTGTAGAGTCTGTGTAAGCTGCATGTTTATTTACTAGTTGTCTCATAACTCTTGTTCCCCAGCCAGAGTCTCTTTATAGCCCTTCTTCAGCTTCTGCTCCCTGTGAGCAGAAAACTACTAACCCATTTTATCATCAGTCATCTAAGGTAAAGTTGCATGAAAAACCTCTACTGAATTATTGATACATAAGCTACTAAAGTACGGCTTTTGCATTTGCTGTGATGTGAACAAAATTGCCTCTGCTGAATGTTTAGGCCAGTTTGAGATGGGAATGATGCCATTACTTTTTCACAACTTACTTTTATTTAGGAAATGTTCCTTTGCTATTTTTAATTTTAGTTCTGTGTTCTCTTTATTTTCCAACTGTTAAGCTTGTGGTTATTTCTTGGCTGTTTATTAACAAGCCCTTATTTCTCTGTAAGCAGAAACATTGCAAATGCTCTTACTGTATACATGCATTGTGATCTTTGTAAATGACATTATATTTATTGTCTTCCTCTTTTGAAACTTGCATCTGTTCTTTATAGTAAGATCTTATAAGGGAATTTTCTGCCTTCATTCTTTTGCAGTCACCCAGATAGCTATCTGCCTGCACACTGTAGCTATATTTAATATGCTACAGGTATGTATTTAGCCAGGCAGTCAGTTGAAGGTGACATATTGCTAATGAGTCAGTTTCTTCCCCTTTGTTTTTTTTTTTAATTCAGGCTGCTGTAGTAGTTAAAGAGATTCTGAGTGTACTCCAGAATAGCCACAAATAATGCAAATGGGCTGTGAAAATCTAGTTTTGCTAACAAGCAGTTATCCATCAAATCTGTCTTGCATACTGATACTGCTCTTGGTATTTCTGAGTAAAAATTAATCTATCACCATGATTATGGTCGCAGATAATTTGTTACAGCATTGATTGTGCTATATGAATTGCTAGGTAGTTTTTGATACCTTAGCATCCTGGACATATTAATAAAATGCTGAATGCAAATTAGTTGAAAAAAGAAAGTTATTTTAGGTTTTGTTTCGGGGAAAAAAACCCCAACAAACGGTAAAAGGAAAAATACCCTTTAATTTAGCATTTGCTTTTCTTGTCCTAGACTGCAAGAAAGAATGCTAAACCTTTTTAAGCAATCTCAAATGCTCCATGTTTTATCATGGTAGGCAGCCCATATTAATATAATGCTGTTGCATGGATTAGAAGTCGAGCTAGCCGTAGTATTTTAGGTGCTATACCATCATGAAAAAATACAAAAGGCAAGATTTTTAATTACTGTGGCTGTTATTTTGCTTTCTCTTTTACTAGGATTTCACTGTTTGTATACGAAATGTTTGTGATGCTTATTTTAGTTGCTTAAAATTTCATCAAGGTACAATTTAAAATTTTATGCAGATGACAAATGTAATGTTTAAAGTGTAATAGGATTATTACACTGACAAATTACTTTTCCCAAACTCCCTTTATAAAATACAAAATCAAGTGTGAATCACATGTGTAAACAGACAATCTTCTTGTACTGCAGGAAAACTGCCTGTTAACATTGAGTGACTTGCCAGTGAAGAAGCCTTGTTCATGCACAGCTCTTTCTCATTGCTGAAGATCCTGTAGAACCAAGGCATATGTTGTCTTACCAAATTACCTTACTTCTTGCAAAATGATATTTGTGAATAAATGTTTAGGGATGCATTTTCTGTTTTCTGGAGCATTTAAAAAAAACCCACAAAACTTTAAGAAAATTTTTAAACCGCAACATATATCTGGATTAAAATACCATGATATAAATGTATCAGTTGATGCTGCAAGCCTTTCACATTCCTTTCACTATGCTTCTTATTTTCCAACACTGTTAAGCTTATAACCCCAAGACATTTAGGCAATTGCTAGATGGATACACCTAGTATAGAAATTACTTTTAAGTATGCATTGAACAGTGTTTCCAACATACTATACAAAATAAGAGCTGTTCCCTCTTTATTAAACAGGTTCTGATCTTGAAATAGGGTGCAGTACAAAAACTGCATAAGGAGTATAAATGATCCTTTAATTTTGTCTAAATATGAAAACTCTTTTTGCATTAAATAATAAGGAAGTACCTTGTCTTGTTTAAGTAGACCAGAGAATTTAGTTTCATTAAACTGTGAATTCAGAAAATTGTAGATGCACGCACACATGTGCAGTGATCTGTAAAAGTTATTACTAGATCTGAAGTCTTTTTAGAGGTGCCTAATTTTACTAAACCTTCTCTTTTGTGAAATACACAATGAATGTGTTACTACAAGAGGTGAGACAAATTATGAGAATTAATCTGTTGTTTTCAAAATAAAACTAAACCTACTACATTATTACAAAGACATCGTGTTTATTCTAATCCAGAAATCCACAATTTCATAAATAACTAATGTGTAAGAGTATCCCATATGCTGCAAAGCTTAGACAAAATTTTACAAATATCACAGCAGGTAAATTTTCTGTTGTTCATGCTGCTGAATTCTGCACTTTTTGCACTTTGTGGGCTAGAACAGGTATGAGGAGTGGTGCTTTTCCTCTACGCTATACTAAACATATCTGATACAAACACAGGGCAAACACAGTTTTGCTTACCTTCACACACCTGCAGTAAAGTTCAAGTGGACCTTGTTTGGTTAGCGCAAACTGCTAAATGAAAATGTTTTTGCTTTGTTTCTATTATGTTTTCCTTTTAAAACCCTGCCGTGCCTTTCCCACAGAATGGTGTTTTCTGTAGGCCAGGTGTCTTCAGCAGCACTAATCCGTTTGCTGATTTTTCTCAGTTCAACTCTAACAAGGTTGGATTATGACACTATCTACTTTTGACTTAACAAATATTGTATGTGTGCTTCTTTGCCATTAGTGTCTCTCTGCATTTAAGTTCTTTTATACCAGTTTGAATAAAATACTGTGCTGATGAGAGTAGAAATTCTGTGTAGTGAATTAAAAAGACACAGACGCACATGCACATAGAAGAGTTTTGAAGAAGTTAAAAAATGGCAGCACTATTAATCATAACCACTAAATCTGATCTATCTGAGCTACCAAAGGAGTAGGTTCTCAATTTCAAAATCAGTACCTGTGGTATATGTTTAAATATCCACCTGAGTGTATCTCTCTCATCAGCGTGAGGTGTTTTGCTACTATGTACTTAATTTTCTTTTTGTGGTTAGGACTTTCCAGCTCTGGTATCTCTTTTTTCTTTTTGCATGAAAAAAAATAAATATTGGCAGCTTTAATTTTATAATGCTGAAACTGTTTCTTGAAAATTCTTTTAATGCACCATGGACAGGATGCTGACTTCTTTGGAAATATGAAAAAAGCTAGATTTTTTTTTTTTTTTTGTGGTTAATACTTATCATGTTATTCATATTGGGAACAGAGTTAACTCTAACACTAAATAAGGCTTAATTCTTATATGCATGCATTTCTAATTTAATAAAATAATTTCTGTCTGGTTATACACCTTGGGAGTGGAGTGACTGTGCCCTTTGTCTGTTTTCCCATGTTGTCAAAAATATCAACTGTACAATGAACATTTCTGGTATGATATGTGGTGTATAATTGCCTGTGTGTTTTTGAAATCTGTCTTTGTGTTTGTTGCAGTTCTGAGGAAAGGAAGTAGAAGTGTAACATAAACTATGGCTTGCGTTTTCTATATTTTCAAAAGTACTTCTGAAACAAATTGCACATATTTTAGAGAAAACCTAATGTTTTCGCAGTTTCTGCGCAGTACCTTTTTAACATTGTGATAAGAATGGCCTTGTGTCATCTCTACTTCTGCTGAACTGAGGTTCATGTACAGTAAGAAACTTTGCTGAATCAGGGTCCTTAATAACCCTGTAAATACTTTTGTCCATTTATAAATGGAGTTAATAAAGTTGCTGCAGTAAGTAAAATAAATCCATAATTGAAAATGAGTTACTCATTAATAATGCTTTGTAATGCCAAAGGTGCTGTAACATGTGGATTGCTGTTTTCTGTTACTGTAGGAAGTATCGAATCCAATTAGGGTTACCTTCCGTTATTCCCCAACTAACCCTTTTGCTCCCACACCATTCAAGGTTTGTCTTTATTCCAGTGAGTGGGTCCTACTGTATGTGTGCTGTACGTTTGTACATGGCCTGTGATACCTTCTGGAGTTCTGCTTCTTCCTCCACCTGTGCCTCCTTTGTTGAAAAGTGATACTGCTCCAAACTTGTTGCCAGTTGTGATATTTGCTTGGCTGTGATCTGAGTGACCGTGGTAGCCAAAAGGGTTCATGCACTGTTTGATGCTTTGCATTTTAAATGAAATACTGTACCATGGTGCACACAAAGTATTTCATGAATTAAGCATTTTAGATTTTTTTTTTTTTTGTCTGGCCCGATTCAGGGAACAAAAGTCTTATGTGTGTATAAACTATAGGGGCCAGCTTCTGCTGCTGGCACTGCATGTGTAGCAGGCTGAGTTCTGGAGGCAGGATGTGGTACCCTCTGCCTAAATGGCATTGTAACACCCTTTTTACCCTTCTCTTTACCAAAGAAGCCTTGCTTTTACTTTTGTTTCAGCATTTCCTTACCCATCAGATGTGCAGATATATGTATATGTGCACAGAGGTACTGAAAGAAGCATTTTTACGTCCATCAGGTTATGGTGGCTGCAGTTCATAAGTGCTAGCCATACATCCACCTTATTGATCTTCCACACATCCTTGACAACAATTTTTTATGTTTTCTTTTTGGACATGTTTTTTTTAATTTTGCAAAGTTCTTGGGACACTGCCATTTACCAAGAGTACCACTAAAGTGATATGTTAATTTTGATTTTAAAACAAAGAGTGTACTATAACGTTTGCTGATATGGTCTGCTCTCACACTGTATTTCCTCATTTTTTCAGTATGTTTATGTAGCTTTCTAGTTAAAACTCTAGGAAGCATTCTGAAAAATTGTTTCTAGAACTACTCTCCCTTCACCTCTCCTTGAGGTAGAGGTCTCTCACCAGCATTTCTCCATGGTGGATGCATGAATTTTTGATTATGAAAAATCACTTTGAATGTTACTAAATAGTGTTTCCACGCTACTCTGATTCTGATGACTAACAGTGACTTTGCTAGAATTTTGCTCCTTCAGTTCAGGTTTGTGTCTGCCTTGTAACTGTTAGTGTTTTATTTGCATAATCTGTAAATAATTTCTATATGAACTTCAGTGATGCAAGGCATCATCTCAGCAGAATGTCATTGTCTTAGATTTGAAGCATAGATCAGTGTGACTGATATAATGATGCAGAAAATCATATAGCATTTATATGCATTTTTAATAAAAATGATTGGCTTGGGTGCCATACTAAAATTTCCCATACTTTTGACATTTAGTGACTTCTTAGTTAAACTTCAAGGACGAATTCCTGAACGAAATGAAAAACTTTTTCAAGCAGAATGAGACTGAAATGAGGCACTTGCATTTTCTTTAAATCTTTGGAATATACAGAGAATGAAGGTAACTCATTTTACCCGAGTGTTGGGACCTTCCTTAAATCTCAGTATGACTAAATCAGTAACTTTCTAGTTTTTTCAACACCTTCAATTTAAAGCAGATTGAAGTCTTGCAAGATGTATGTTACTCATTTCATTGTTGATGAAGAAATTGTCTCAGTGTTTTTGTCACCCAGAGACCCCATCTGAGATATGTGTTCAAACTTTTGCTAATGTAGATAATGAAAACTGAAATTATGAGAACAGGGTTATGAAGCCAGGGCAACACCTGAAAATCCTAGTGTTGGAAAAATATTTGGTTTTCATCTAAAGTTTTTGCTGTTCACATCAACAGCTGATCTGCCAAGTATCAAAGTCTCTTGGGCAGGCATAAACTTCAGAATGATGATATTCAGACACAAGTTTCTTGCCTACCTGTTTACTTTGAGCAAGCTAAAATAATATAAATTACAATTACTTAGCCAAATCCCTGATGAGAGCCCATATTCCTCGGGGAAACTGACTTGAATGGAGGCTTGCCAGATTGTCGATTTGGGTGTTTAGCCATTATATTGCAGTATTTATGTGTTTATACTTCTAAACTTTTTGTCAGTATGGATAGACCACATATGTCAAGGCCAAAATTATTTTTATTCCTTTGTGTAATCTATATCTTCCTTTATTTGATATCGACTGTACAGCTTATAGGAAACTAGTAAATAAGAGTGAAAAAGTCCAGTTACTGTGCAGTTACTGTGGATTTCTTCAGTCTTCTTCTTTTTTTTTTTTTTTTTTTTTTTTTTTTTTTTTTTTTTAAAAAAAAAAATTCCTTTCTGTTAATATGCCAGTTACTTTATTTTTTTTCTGGAGGCATTTTTGAAGGCACCAATTTCTTTGTTCCTTTCCCTCTATTTGGCTTCCAAAGTATATGATAGGAAGAAATTATATTTGGTGGCTTTTAAAAATAAAATGAAGTAGAAGTCTTTTACAGATATGGCATTTAAAAAAAAATCACTTGAGTCTTTGTAAGAGACTTTCTGAAATGTAAAGTGGCACATAAAACTTTACTGAATTGGGCTTTTATTGTGATTCTGTTTGCTTCTGGATACATTTTGGAGTGGTGTTACGTCTTACCTTGCCTGGTGTTTGTTTCTGTCTTTGATCTCTTGCAGCCTTTCTGTGCTGTGTTATTAATTTAGAATTCCAACTGCTTGATATTTAAACTTCAAAGCCATAGTCATTGCTATTTTGACATTTTTTGTATACTAGTTTGCCCTACACAGAATCTATATCTGCTTAGCCACTGCATGTTTCTTACTCTCCACAGGCATTTGGTCAGTCTGATTTAGAGCCAGAAAAGACTTCGCTTTGTAACTTGCATCTGCCCCCTCCTTCAGCGTTTTCAGGAGTGAGCTGTGATGTTACACAGTCATCCTCTAGGGTCCCAGAGGATGTGGAGAAGGAGGATGAGTTTGGTTATAGCTGGAGTAAGTTTATCCTTTCTGATAATGTTTGATATATTCAATGTTGAAATAGCACTGTAGTAGAAGATATGGGGTGTTCAGTTGGAGCTACTTCATTCTCATGTGCTTCATGGTTTAAGTGTTAAGTGTTGCTATCAGCTTTCAGTTGTGCTTGGTCAGATGCTCATGGGGAAATATAAAATTATTTTGTTCTTCTTCATTGCACTCCAATCTCTGTTTTCCTCTGTGGTACAATTTCACTGCTTCACAAGCAGGGCTACTTGAAGAATTTCATTGTACTCTAGGTAACTGACAGCAGTGATTAATGTGATAGCTTCTGTTAGCTGAAGGTTTTACTGGAGGGAAGATTATTGCTTTTATGTGTGAAAAGTCTTTTTTTAAGAGAAGTTTTAATGTTTTATGAAGTTACAAGGAAAGCAAGAAACTAAAAATATTGTTATAAATCACCTAAGACTTAGTTTAAAAGAAAGTGTGGTGTACACTTAAAATTTACACATTCAGTTTGGGATACTGCCCACTGGACACTGATCTTGACTTCCTAGATGATTTGTGAAACTTTCTAATGTAAATCCAACCTCTACTGCCCACACTTTTACATTTAGAAAAGATCGTGCAGCGCTATGGAAATCTGCCAGGGGAGCTACACATGATTGAGCTGGAAAAAGGAAGGACAGGTCTGGGACTTAGTCTTGCTGGTAACAAAGACCGATCCAGGATGAGTGTCTTTATAGTGGGAATTGACCCAAATGGAGCAGCTGGCAAAGATGGCAGGTTACAGATTGCAGATGAGTTACTAGAGGTGAGTTTTTGCAATTTGTACTGAAACCCAAACATAGTCACTTAAAATGAACTAAAATGTTTGTTCCTTGCTGCAATATAGATGTTCTTCAGTGGACTTTGAAATCTCCAAGTTGTCCAACTTGACATCACTGTGTTACCAGATTATCATTCTGGTTTATGTCAAATAGTGAATGCAACTGGGATTTTTTTTCCCTAGTTATAGTAGTACTAAGTAAAAGTGTGTGTATTTAAAATGGATAAAAATGGGGGATAACAGCAGTTTTTGGGTTATGGAGATGTATGGAAGGACGATGCATTGTAGACTATGGAAAAAATTAAAGTCCTTTAGTCCATTCTTCTGTGGATTGCTCCAGACTTTCTGATTACACAGTTCGGTTGATGATACTTGCAGATGTATTCTCTGCTATAGCCATTCCTGTTCTTTCTGATAGCAGTGAGTAACATTGCCCTCAGAGAAATGCTGTGTATAACTGCAAAACTGTGTATGGAGGTGTTTGAGGATGCACTGGAGAAGTGGTACAGGGAGGGAATGGTGAGACTGAACAAAGCTTAGGGGAGACGCTGAGAGAGTAAATGATGTAGGTTGGCAGTTGGAGAGCAGGAGAGAAATTGAGGGTTTTGTGGCACTGTGGACCTAGTCTCAGGGCATGACCTGTTAGTTTCAGAGTCCAGTGTTACCTGCTAGCTGGTTCTCTTGAATCAGCTGAAACATCTGTTTTTAGAACCTTGATGTTGCAGATGCTGAGTATCCTCAGAACATGTTGAAACACATCTGTCTGAGTCTGCTCTCATATGATTTCTTGCTTACTCTCCATGCTGTAAACCTGCAAACTGATGCTAAGAGCTTATCTCACCATCTTCTGAGAGGAGACAGCTGTGACGGGCCATGCCCCATCCTCTGGCTGGGAGCCTGACTGTGGTTCTTCACAAGCTAGTAGCAAGCACTTGAAGTAACGTTGCATACAGATTGTTACTTCCAGTGTAAATGACAGGGCTCATTAACCCTGTGACCAAGTCTGATGGACACAGCCTGTTTGGGAGCTGAGGGGTTGCTGTTAAGCTTAACCCTCAGTTCAGTGTCTTGCATCAGTTTCTCACTGTGCACTGCTTCTCTGCTTCTATTAGTATTTCCTCTGTTGCATTATTTTCCCCTTGTGTAGGTCCAAGCTGTCCTTTTCCAGTCATTTCCCCTTTCTTAAAGTGGACTTCTTCACTGTAATTTTCCACTTTGAAGAGCAAATGCAACTAATAAAATGTGAATGAATAATGCCTTATTCTGCAAGTTCACACTGATACCTTGAACCATAACTGAATCATAGGAACTTCAAGAGGTTTCAGTCAGTCGACTCTCCTAAGTGAAGACAGTGATTGTTAGGTCAAATCTTGAGATGCACCAGTGTTCAGACTCCTGTGTATAAAGTGCCTGGCCCAGAGCTGAGATTTGATAAATAATAGCAGTCTTGTTGCTGGATATAAAAAATTAATTTGTTTGTTGTGGTTAGAATTTCCCTTGGCTCTGCTTTATCACCACATCCGTCATGAGGTGATCCACTCTATTTCTACTTGGCAAGCAGAAAAAGATGATGTGCCAAGTCAACCCAGTATAACTCGGAGAATGACATTTTTAGCACTGTGACAGTGTTAGTCTGACATTAAGCTATAAGGAATTTTTTGCTGGAAGAAGGGAGTGAAAACAGGACACAACATACTCTGTTATTTTCATAAAATTGCTGCTTTAGCCAGTGACGTGGGATAATGGATTTTTTTAAGGCTTAAAAATTAGCTAAAGTATAAAGAAACTAAATTATTTTTAGAAATAATTGCTACCTTCCTTTGTATAGATAAATGGGCAAATACTCTATGGAAGGACTCATCAGAATGCTTCCTCAATAATCAAATGTGCACCATCTAAAGTAAAAATAATATTTATCAGGTAAGTTCTAGTTAAAGATTTGTCTAAAAAGGGGTTTTTTTTAGTATGCTCAAGTGTTGCGCAGAGTGTTTCTCTTATTTTTAATTTTGGTGAGGTAGACGTGCTTTAGAACCCAGTTCTTACTAGTTACTAAATGTCTTGAGTTTTCTGTTTTGATATTTGTATTGTGGGTGCCAGAAATAAAGTAAAAGAAAGTGCTAGACTTAAACTTGTTCTAAGAAGTATGGGACTGTATTACTACATTCTTACTACATTCTTTAACTGAATCTGTTCTAGAAATAAAGACGCTGTAAATCAGATGGCTGTTTGCCCTGCAAAGTCAGTAGAGCCTTCACAGTGTACTTCAGGTACACTTCAACATCAAGAGGTAAATTTTTGTTTTTCTTATTTTATTGAGGTACTAATTTTGTTTTGGATAGAGAAGTACCCTGTCTGCTTAGCAAATACTACGAAACAAAAATAAATCCAAGGGAAAAACAAATGAGATTTTAGTAAAACTGTTAAATTTAGTACAGCTATCCTCAATTCTGGTTTATTTTATGTTCATCTAGACTCTGAAGGAAATCTAACATTCCCATGAATAGGGTTATAGCAGTTTAAAAGAATTCGGAAAATTATCAAATCCACTCTAAATGTTTGTGTGCTACTTTATTTTGCTGCAAAATGTTGAACATAGTTGCTCACAGGTATGTTTTCATTTTCTGTTAGATTGATACCAGTGCTGCAAACTCCAGTGCTTGTTCTGACTTCAGTTCATGTAAAAACATTCAGTATGTGGAACTCCCTAAGGTATGTTCTGAAAATTAAATTTGCATCAGCCACATTTGTATTCACTAGCTTTTTTTTGTAATGTAGTCAAACAAATGCAAGTCAGAATAGAGTTTTCTAGAAGTCTTCTCTTCCTATGTATGAATGCACCCCAAAGTTTTCCTGACACAATGACTGTCTTTGGCAACCTCATGAGTCTCTCTAACTTCATATAAATTTGCCAGTTGCTCTGCGTGTCTGGAAGAAGTCACCTCTCGTCCTATTTGCAGAACTTCTGTTAACCAGCTCCCGGTGGTGCCTCAAGTAGAATTCTTGCCTTAGTTGTTCAAAGCAAATGAATTAGCAGATTATAAGCACCAAACAACATGCATATTTAGTGGAAATTGTGCAGCTGGGGGAAAATGGCCAGGTGTTCTGAAACTATGAAGTTGCCAGATGAGGCTGGAAAAATTGCTGGTCCTGCGTATTAAAATGGAGAAGACAGTTGCATTCAGTGGACATAAGGATAGAGACCTGTGGACTGTTAGTTCTTTAGAAGGCGTCTAGCCTTCCGTTATTAACCAGGAGTATATCTTACAGATGATGGTATCTGGATGATTTAATTCTAGGTGAAAGCATTAGGGAGATTTCAGTCTTCCACAAACATTTACTGATTTAATGGGAAGAGCATACATTTTTCTGCCCTCTGTATTTTTCACCCCTGTGTGTATTTTTTCTGTGGTTTCAAATAATAAGTTTAAGCTATGTAATGAAATTTTATTTACCTCAGTTTACAGTTTCAAAATGTTTTTTGTTTCTTACTCCTATTTATTAATTCAACAACTGAATCACAGTTGACTTTGTAAGTTTTAAAGGAGCAGGTTTGAATTTGGAAGTATTTCAAATTTATCTTGGTAGACAATATACTGTTTGTAGGTTGGCAAAAATCTATTTCAGAAATAGATTCGTTTAAAATGAATTTATTGATGCATTGTGAAAACCCAAACTTTTGTTATGTCTGCAGGCTTCACTAGTTTTTAGAGAACGTATTCTAACATTTTGGTAAACACAGTACCTAACTATTTTCATTTTTCTGTTTGTCCCAGGATCAAGGAGGCTTTGGAATTGCCATTAGTGAAGAAGACACAATTAATGGAGTAGTTATTAAGAGCTTAACAGATCATGGTGCAGCAGCAAAGGTGTGAGAACATTTAAAATACAAATAGGGAGTTAAAAATTTTTTTTGGAGTGGGATCCAAGTCTCATGGTTTTTATTCTGTGTTGTTTCCAGGATGGACGAATCAAAGTTGGAGATCAGATCCTGGCAGTGGATGATGAAATTGTTGTGGGATATCCAGTAGAAAAGGTGCTTCTAAAGTGTCAGGAATGTTGCAGAAATCACACCTCTTAATGTAGAAAATGACTATGTCTTAAAAAAAAAAAGTGAGGTTTTCATTTTCAAAGCTGGCTAAAGACCCAAAGTTCTGGAGGCATTGTCTGGATAAGGAAACTACTGTAAAATAAGCTAAAACATGAATTTAAAGCTCAGGTGCTGTATTTTACATTAATGCACTACATGAAGTCTGCGTCTGTGCTACAAATGCAATTTTTTTTTTTTTTTTTTCCCTGTGGTTCATATGTGATGACTGAGAGGCACTTAGTTGTGGGATAAAAACCATGAACTGTCGCTTTATAATAACTTTTTATAGCTACTCAATTTTAAAAGAATTAGAACCAATAAAATTAATACATGTATGTTTACATGGATGAGTTGCATCAGTTGTAAATCAGGTTATGAACTGTTGCTTATACATGGAAAGTGCCTGTAATAATGGCCTCATTATATTTCAAACCTGATATTTCAACCATTTAAAGAAAACTATCTCCATTCCTAAATAACAAGATTTATTTCTAACTTCCAGCTCTGCAAACTCAATTTGGGTTCTGTAATGAATCAGGGAGGGAGGGCTTTTTTCTAGCGCCTGCCTTGCTACCAAGAAAAGTGATTCTTTAGGCATGGGAAGATTATTTTCTGTTTGTTAAAGGGGAGTTAGGAGCACGTCCATCTTACTCTTTGATGTGCTGCTATATCTGAAGCAGTAAATGAGTAAGAGATAGTGAAGTTCTCTGCAGGGAAGTAGGTAGGCTTTGGAAGAAGAGACAGAGAGACTTAAGTAATTTCTGCAAAGGCTTCTAATTCTACTGAAATGTAAATTCTCAGGAGGATTTAGTGTCTTCTGTGAGATGACAATAAATTTTGAGGGTTTTTCACTATCCCTTTAAACTAAATTTTGCATTACATGCTATTGTCCTTCTCTCCCTCCCATAGTTCAGTTAATATTTTCAGATTTTCCTTCTAGCTGTGCATCTGATTAAAGAGCTAGGATGTCAGCAGCACATTCGTTTAAATCAGTAGATGTTTTGGCATTGACTTCTGTGGGATCAGAATTCATCTCCGCCTAAGCATTAAAAGACAATACTAGTTTTCTGATTTTCCTATCAATTGTTATAAATACAGTATTTTGTCTAGGGAAGCCATAAAAAGACTATCACAGTCTCGTCTGGTGTATTTGGTGAAGATTCATGTAAGCTTCTTGATTAACATCAGACAGGTCTGGCCCACAGTTAACACCTATTGCTTTCTCTTATAAAAAATCAATATTTTTTTTTTCATTGCCAGGAAAACCTGCAGGATTGTGACTTGCAGCTCCAGTTTGCAGAACATTTCTTCTGCTTTATTTTTGTTTTACAACTAAACAGTCCAGTTACATTCTTCACCAGCTTTTCTCTCTGTCATTCAGTTCATTAGTCTTCTGAAGACATCCAAAACTATGGTGAGGCTTACAATCAGCTCAGCAGAGACAGATAGCCTGACTGCAGCACCAGTCCCTTCCAGCACTGCCCCAGAAGAGAGGAGGAATATGCAGCCACCAGCAACTGTCCCCTCTTCCAGTTCACCGGAACCAGAAGCAGTCAAAAGTAAGGTTCTCCTTGTGTGTCTGTCTCCCCTAGGGTTGTGACATAAAAATGAAGACCCAGCTTGTAAACAAGTTTTCTCTTTTTGTATGCACTCAGCTATCTTCTGAGTTTTATTTTCTAGTACTTTAAGATTACAGATCCTTCTAAATAAAGCTGGGATGTCCACACCAAAGACTTGCCTCTTGCTTTCCTACTGACCTGCTATAGAGGCAGGAGGATGGAGGCATTTCCTCTTCCTTCCCAAAGGTTGTGCAGCAGGTGCCTCTGTCATGGTTGTCTAGAACTAAGTGGGAGGCATTCCTTTAAATGAAGGAGAAAAGTTATGTCACCAGTCCTAGAACAGCGGAATGGTTGGCTGTCTTCCCATTTATGACTAGCCAGGTTTGACTCTTCCCTTTTAAAGTGGAGAGTCAAGATGCATCTGATTGATGATAGTTATTAGTTAAGCAACGTGCTACTCAGAAGCTAGTAATAACTTAATGGAGTAATGCATATCACAGTTGATATGTACATCACTGCAAATATTAGATTCATTTTTCTATTGCTTATTACTAGTAGTAGTATTGATTCGTAATTATACTATTATAAAGAAATCTTAAGAAACACATGAGAGACCTACTAGGTAGTAATTATATTGTCTTCCCTTCTGCATTTAGTTTTAGGGTAAAATCTATTGCTTTGTCCAAGTCTATCCCTTCCATCTCCAACTTGCCACAGCAAGACTCATGTATAAACAGCTGATGGAGATTTCAGCAGTGCTCCCTCCAGTATCCTGGTGATTTGTGACTGCAGCTTGGCTTCACTACCACTTAGAGCCATCCACAACCCAGCTGTTGGAAGATCTCCCTCCTCATCATTCTCTGATTGATTTTATAATTTATTTGACTTTCTTTTACCAAGCCTACCTTTTTGCTGTCCCTGCACCTTGTTTTCTCTGCACAGACTCCTTCCAAATAAGCAACCCATCCCTAACTACGTTTCCTCCATTGATCTAATTTCTACTACATCTCTACTCAACTTTGGTGTTTCCAGCAGTTCTGTGCAGACAATTTTTGGTCCAATACTGACGCAGCTATCTAGATGAGGTCAACCTTGCATACCAAGTCTCTCATTCGATTTTTTCAGTTCATGTATTTCATGTACATGTTATGTTTTCTGGAAAGAATCATTGTACTTAAGTGTTGACTCCCCTACTGTTGTGGTTTAGCTGCAGCTGGCAGCTAAGACCACTTGGCCACTCACTCACTCCTACCAGCTCTGGTGGCATTGGGAAGAGAAAATACAACAAAGGGTCTTGTGCATCAGGATAAGGGCAGGGGGAGATCACTCACCAGTTATGGTCATGGACAAAACAGACTCGACTTGGGGAAGGAAAAAAAAAAATCAGTTTAATTTGTTACCAGTCAGAGCAGGATAATGAGACATAAAAATACATCTTAAAACACCTTACCCCCACCCCTCCCTTCTTCCTGGGCTGAATCACTTTGCTCCCGATTCCTCTACCTCCTCTTCACCCAGTAGCACAGGGGGATGGGGAATAGGGGGTTGCAATCGGTTTGTCACACTTTGTTTCTGCTGCTTCTTTCTCCTCAGAGGAGGACTCCTCATACTTTTCTGTGCTCCAGTGTGGAGTCCCTCCCACGAGATGCAGTTCCTCACCAACTGCCCCAACTTTGGTCCGTCCCTCAGGCTGCAGTAGTTCAGAAACAGTCTGCTCTAGCACATGCTCCCCATGGACTCACTTCAGGTGTAGCCTCCTGCTACAGTGTGAAGTCCTCCACAGGCTGGAGTCAGACCTCTGCTCCGGCATGTCTCCTCCTCCTGGGTCCCTTGCTCCAACGCAAGGTCCTCCTGGGTCCCTTGCTCTAACATGACCTCCTTCTGGAGTCATGACCGCCTTTGGTAACAGCCTCCTGCTGTGATGTGGGGTCTTCCATGGACTGTAGGTGGGCATCTGCTCCACCATTGAACCTCCATGGGCTGCAGGGGGACAACCTACCATCTCACCATGGGCTGCAGGAGAATCTCTGCTCCGGCACACCTCCTCACCCTCCTCCTTCACTGACTTGGGTGTCTGCGTAGTTATCTCTCTCACAACCTCCTCCTCCCTCCTCTGCAGATTGT